TATATTTACATACTTACAAATTAAAATTGTTTGTTATATACAGGGTGTTTTTTTGGGAGCTTTAGTTAAACGTTTCTGGGAAAGTAAAAAAGGTAGGTTTTTGAAAATTTGTACCTAGGGGTTACTCTGAAGGCCCAATCGATGTAAAATATTTTCAAAATGGTGGCACTTCCGGAAATACCGGAAGTGGCTAGTAAGTTCATTATTTTAAATGGAAACCCCTATTTTTTTATTGCATTTTTGGATTCTACGTGAAATTTCAGTTCTTTTGATACCCCCATATCAATATCTACAATTTATGGTTTTTCAGATATTTTGACTTTAAGGGAAAAAATGGTGGGTGCAGACGGTACCTTGAAAATTGATTACTTAAAAACGGTTGTAGTTATGGCAACCCATTTTTGCCAGTGCATAGAGAAAGAATAGGGCTTTCTTTTAGTGTACTTTAAAAAAAGTTAAGTTGCGCAAGACCGCACCTATGGAGATCCAAATTTAAGAAATTTCAAACAATAAAAAGTCAGTTTTTTTAAATGAAATGCCTATTTTCTTACTACTCAATTTGATAGAGAATCAAAATTGGCATATTTTGATATTACATGTTCCTATACCTATCTTTAACAATTTCTGACTTATTTCCATTTCATTGAATTGATAACATTTTTTTTAATTTTCTTTTTAGTTGTCGGCCATGATTTTATAACAATCGAATTTTAAACAAACCAAGGAAAGGATTCTTTGCTATCAATGATTCTAATCTAAATAATTAATTCATAAAAAAGTTAACACAGTGATCAGCTAAGTGGATAACAAACTTGTATGAAAATAAAATGAAATATTTTAAAATTCGCTTTTCAACACATGTTCAAAATGAGCGCCTTCGTGTTTCAAACACAATTCAATTCTTTTTCTTAACTGTTCTCCTGTAGAGTTTTGTATCACATGTGATTCAATAGTTTCTAGTGCATTTCTTACTCTTAAGATCATATCTTCTTTTGTTGTGGGAGGCCTGGCATAAACAGTGTCTTTTACATATCCCCACAAAAAGAAATCTAATGGGGAAAGGTCCGGGGAACGAGCAGGCCAAATATATGGCCCGCGGTTTCCGATCCAATTCCCTAGAAAAGTGGCATCTAAAAACTCGGAAATAATGCCTGCATTATGTGCAGGAGCACCATCTTGTTGGTAATACATAGCATCATATTCCTGTAGAGGCAGATCTTCTGTTGCAGGAACAACAATATTACGTAATATTTCCAAATAACGTTCTGCATTCAAATTTTCTTGATACACATGAAAACACAAAATCTTGTTTTTTTTTCAACGCACAAAACACATTAAAACTCCAACACTCTTGGAAGTGTACTTCTCGATTCAAAAAAGGATTTTGATCGCTCCAGTAATGTGAGTTATGACGATTAAACATGCCGTTTTTACTAAACTTGGCCTCGTCTGACCAAATAATGTTCCCCAAAAAATTATCATCCTCCTGATCCCTTAACATTAGCCATTCGCAAAACTCAATTCGTCTTGGGAGGTCCCCCGGTTGCATCGAATGCACATTATGGAATGAAAATGGACGATAATGGTAGTTTTTCAGGATTTTATGGATGCAACTAATATTTAATCCTAAAGCAATTTCCGCGTCTCTCAACGAATTAGTGGGGTACGCCGTGAAATATCCAAGCACGTTAGCAATATTATCCTCATTTTCAGCAATAGGTCTTACTCTAGGTATTTGTTTCGGGGGTACAAAACTTCCAAAATTCAAACAATTTCGTTCCAGTGTTCGAATGGTATGATCACTAGGACGTGGTCTGTCTGGATATCGCTCAATGAATGTACGGCAAGCACGTGCCGCGATTCTGTCCATTTCACCATAAATCACAACTAAATTCCAAAAATCTTCATTGGTGAAACCACTGCGAGCCATTTTTCGATTACTCAAACACTTATGTTAACTTATAACAGGTGACCGATTAGTGTCACTAGATTTGTTTAAAATTCGATTGTTATAAAATCATGGCCGACTACTAAAAAGAAAATTTAAAAAAAATGTTATCAATTCAATGAAATGGAAATAAGTCAGAAATTGTTAAAGATAGGTATAGGAACATGTAATATCAAAATATGCCAATTTTGATTCTCTATCAAATTGAGTAGTAAGAAAATAGGCATTTCATTTAAAAAAACTGACTTTTTATTGTTTGAAATTTCTTAAATTTGGATCTCCATAGGTGCGGTCTTGCGCAACTTAACTTTTTTTAAAGTACACTAAAAGAAAGCCCTATTCTTCCTCTATGCACTGGCAAAAATGGGTTGCCATAACTACAACCGTTTTTAAGTAATCAATTTTCAAGGTACCGTCTGCACCCACCATTTTTTCCCTTAAAGTCAAAATATCTGAAAAACCATAAATTGTAGATATTGATATGGGGGAATCAAAAGAACTGAAATTTCACGTAGAATCCAAAAATGCAATAAAAAATAGGGGTTTCCATTTAAAATAATGAACTTACTAGCCACTTCCGGTATTTCCGGAAGTGCCACCATTTTGAAAATATTTTACATCGATTGGGCCTTCAGAGTAACCCCTAGGTACAAATTTTCAAAAACCTACCTTTTTTACTTTCCCAGAAACGTTTAACTAAAGCTCCCAAAAAAACACCCTGTATACAAAGCCTATTATTAACTACATCTCTATATCTACTATAATATTCTCTACAAGATTCTCATAAACTAACCCCATTCCAATACGTTGCATTATGTAATTCTAAATATCTAAAGCTAACATCCTTAAAATAATCGCTATTAAATAAATCAATATTATGCCTAACTATATTTAAACTCTATCTACTAAACTACTTATAAGGGTTTTACTTAAAACTAAATCGCTATCTATTTCTTCGATTATTTCTATTATAGTCTCTTTGGCCTCCTCTTCAAACTTAACCAGATCAATGTCCGCTAGTTTATCACGTTTCCACTTCAACTCGGCTTGGACAATGACAGATAAGTTGCCCCATTCCAAATGCCTGGGTAACATTTTCTTAATGCACAGGTTATACAGCGTATCGCAATGGGTAACACGCTCCATCGCACGTTTCCGTATACCTTGCATAAAGTCCGTGAATGTTTCCAGCTTAAATGTCCAATTATTCATAAAGGACATTCGCATAGCCTCGAAGAAGTGGGAGGCCACTAACAACTCTTCAAAGTCAATATTATGTCGATCACTTAATGTATCTAAATTGTCTTCACTCAAACTTAACCCCCATGCACTTATTAAATCCGCCATTGTACTCAAACTTGGCCGTAAACGATTTGCACACTGTAAGAATCGGGCGCGAACTACTACGATATATACTATAGCATTATCTTTATATATCCAAATACCCCACTAGTTGTCGAGAGAGGTCACGAGAGGTCATTGATCTTTGCGGTGACCTTGAACTTGTCCGCTAGGTTATGTAAATATTCATCACTGTACCATCTTCGCAGACCATACACTTGCTCATGTTCAGCGTCAAAACAAAAGTCCCTCATTTCCCTATGTAATCTCTGCACCGCCGAATATTCATCATAAGCAACAGGCCAACTCTGCTGATTATAGGCAAACCACATGATAACTAGTGTTTCATACAGAAACATGCGCAAAGTATATACAATTCCCCCACTTAATTTAACGACTTGGTAATTTCAGCATCCCACATGACTTTGTCCTTGACTAACAGTACCACTTCCATTAAGACGGCAGTGTTCTGGTCATGCAAGTCCTGTAACGGAGTAATGATGCTCATTATATTTTCGATGTAATCTCCAGTCATTTCAATGGAGGCATTTATAATCTTATTGTAAAAATTATCAAACTCTAATGTGGTTAACATTTCCAGACGGTACGTTATTAAATTCGCCAGTAACCACAACCGTTGAAGTGAACCAAATGCCATATAAATGTCACATTCCCCGTTGTCAACGATTTTTATGACTTTGGTATTGTTTATCACTTCAGACGTTATGGTTTTGAATCCCACCTTAATTGGTAACAATTTTCCTTCTGTTGAGCAGAAGTAATTCGTAATAAGGTTTTGATTGTCTGTGAATACTTTCCATTCACTTTTATCAAAGGAAACACCTGCAGTCTTGGATCCACAGATTCTTACCATTGGTGTGAATTGACGGTACACTGATAGTCCAACACACACCTATTTACTTTTACTATTGTTAAGTTCATAACGCGATTGATTGACTAAATTAACATCACTAACCGTGAAAAGCACTGTATTATTGTTCTTCAATTTATCAACGGTTTGCTTTCAAAAGTTGATATTATCCATGATCGGTGACTACTACCATGCATTACATTGTGTGTATTATATAATACCAAATCCTCCACGTAACGTTGGTTGTGTAAAGACCTTGACTGTGTGGTGGATTTAATCATTGATTTAACCTTGACTGTGTGGTGCAAAATGCCACGTCACCATTACATACGTTCTATTGGATTCATCGAATTTAACACTCTTCATCGGATTCTGAAGATTCATCATCATTCTTCCACGCTTGCAACTATTCACTAAACTGCTCCAACTTTGCATCCCTTAGTTTCCGGATAATACACTCGTCACATATTTTATAGCTTAAGTAACTGTCACATATTGCTTCTCCTAACTCATACTTTGCGGCAATAGCTTGGCACTCCTCTGGGCTGTATTCACCACGTCCATATATCGCCTCGTACTTTGCATCAAATGCTAATGCAGAAAAATGCTGCTTAAGGCCGGTCGTCCTTTGGATGCGTTTTCGTCAGAATTATTTTCGTCAGAAATCGGACGAATAATTTCGTCAGATTTCGCATAATGTGTATCGTCCACTAGACAAGTTTTCGCATTGTACGAAGTCAGTCGTATGTAGTGATGATTTATCAAATAAGCATACTATAATTATTAATAATATGGATCATTTTCTTTTGGAAAATAGTTATCTTGTTAGACGGCGATTAAAATTAAAAAGAAAAAAGTGTTGGGTTAATGACATATTAGTAAAACGAAAAGAATTCGGAGAATTTCATCATTTATATGATGATTTGAAGAAGGACGAGAAAAAGTTTTTTGATTACTATCGCATGAATCAGGATACATTTAACTATATTTTAGATGCCATAAGGGAACCAATAAAAAAAATGTCGAATTTCCGTGAGACCATTTCGCCAGAAGAACGATTGAGTGTGACTATAAGGTAAGTTATAAATACAGTAGTTGCAACATTTTGAATTATATTATTTAAAAATACAAAGAAAAGAAATACATTGTTTTATGCGCTGAAGTGAGAAACATAGTTCTGAATGGACAACGGCTGTTGATAGGAAACATCTTCTCTTATTTCACTTGAATATTGTGAGACCCCGGAAGATACTGTATTTTTCAAAGATGAAGAACGATGTGGTGTTAAGTCATTACAATAGAATGACGCTCTGGAGGAATCGGTGTCCGTGTAAGGCATTGGGGAAGGCAACGGTGTTGTAATTGTTTCATTGGAACGATATGTTGCTCCGGGCGTGTGTCTTGTAGATAATTGTTCTTCCTCAAGAAATACTTGCTGCAACTTACTTCTCACCAACATTTGTCGATTGTGAGGTACAGCCTTTAAAAATGGCAGGAGACTTAGTAGGAATTGGTGTTCACTATCACCGCCTTCTCTATTTTTATGTTGAGACAATATTTCCAATTTGGCTCTTTCTATTTCGAGGAACTTTTCGTCCATTGAATTTGTCTCGGAATTCTTAGCATATTTTAGACGATTGTTTGTGTTTTTCTTACTTTGCAAAGTTGAACTACTAGGTGTATTGAATGTACTTGTTACCTTGTTACCAGATGTGGATGGCTGGTGAATATCTGTATTTACAATTTGCTGTGATGACTCTTGAATGGTGGATTGAGTGTCAGAGTATGCATTGTCTGCAGCTTCCAATGTCGATTCTGTCTCGGAAGAAGAGTTGTCATTGTTTTCCTTTTGCGGAGATATATTTCCATGCAGTTTACGTCGTTCAACAGTTTTAGATAAAAACAACAGTATTTTATAATATGGCCATTTGGAGGTAACTACCGATTCTGCACCATCTCCAGATTTCTGTTTTTTCGACTTGTTGAATTCCTTTCGAAATGTGTCTCGCAGCCCCCTCCATTTTGATTTTACTTCATCAACTAAAAAAAAATCGTTACAATTAATAACGTTTTTTTTAGATATTTGGCAACAGGCTCCTCGTTCAAGACATTGGGGTATTCGTTTCGAATATCAGACGTCACGGTGGGTAGAATTGTTTATGAAACGTGTGATGCTATTTGGGACAAGTTGGGTACTGTACATATGCCATTTCCGAAAAATGAAGACATGCAGTCTATATCTGAAGAATTTTGGAATAAGTGGAAATATCCAAACTGCGTTGGATGCATAGACGGGAAACACATACGCATACAGAATCCAAAGCACTCCGGAAGCATGTATCGGAACTATAAACAATACTTCTCAATTGTTTTACAAGCCGTTGCTGGACCAAACTACAAATTTATAGCAATTGATGTGGGAGCGTATGGTAAAGAAATTGACGGTGGTATTTTTTCGCATTCAAATCTTTGCCAAAAGCTTGAAAACGGAGGATTAGGTGTTACAAGACATTGTCCACTGCCGGGAACAAATATTAAAGTACCTCATGTTCTTTTGGGAGATGAAGCTTATCCACTCAAAACTTATTTAATGAGACCTTTTCCAGTATTAAAATTAGGACCTTCAGAAATAATTTTTAATGAGCGTTTGTCTCGAGCAAGACAAGTTGTTGAATGTGCATTCGGAATTATGAGTGCCAAATGGAGATTATTACAAAAATCAATTGAAGTAAATCCCGAATCTGCCGATAAACTTATTAAATGTATATGCCTGTTGCATAGCATTATAATTGATAGAGAAGGAGAGCAGCAAGTAGCATGTACATTCGAGCAAATCCCTGATCAAACACATTCTAGAACGGGAAGATTTGGAACCTTGGGTGAAAACAGAGGCACCAGTTCAGCTTATGATATCAGAGATAAATTTAAAACTTATTTTTCATCTCAAGAATTGTATAATGCATAATTTAAAATCAATAAAACATTCAAATACATTTCGGATTTCACTGAGCCAACAAAGACAAATATTTTGTTTGTTTGCAAATATATCATACCTGAGACCCAAATTTGATTTAACTTACCCTTAGTATTCATTTCAACTGCCACTTCTTGCCACAATTTTCTTTGTATGTCTCTCATGTGATATGATTTGTCGGTCATATCCCACAGAGGCTTTTTTTCATAAATTAAATTAATTAATTTTTCAACATCCATCTTGGTCTGTTAAGGTGCGTATACATCTGCCGAACCGAGCATGTAATGTAACGTGTAAATGCAACAAATTCGGACAATTGGGACGGCGCCGCGAGCACGAAGCGAACAGGTTCGCAGTGTGCTCGCTCGCTCCGTCAAAAGTCGGTTTTTGTGACGAGCACAAAGGGATTCGCGTGCTCGATTGGGACGTGTTTTTAGTTTAACCTTCCTGTTCTTGACGTGCTCGCGAGCATTTAGTCTTGTTTAAAATGGCGCAGTGGTCAGATGAAAGTTCATTGTTATTGATAGAGATTTATAAAAATTATGAAGTGCTGTGGAATCCAAGGAATGAAAACTATTATAACAAAAATTTAAAAGTGGATGCCTGGAAAGAAATAGCGGCCGCAGTTGAACAGCCGGAAGAAGCATGTAAAGCAAAAATCATTAGTTTACTTGCTTCATACAGAAGGGAGAAGGCCAGAGAAAAAAATCGAAAGGGACAGGATCAGGTAAGATACATTATGAAATAAACAAATTCTAGTAGTCCAATATTCAGTTCGAAAAATGTACATTATTTTATTACAAAATAAAAACAAAACTAAACATAATTATAATATCTATTTGTAGGTGTGGATAACGTATACAATAGTCGATGGTTCGCTTACGAAGCTTTACGATTCTTGGAAGACAGAGATAAGCCAAGAAAAAGTATGGACACGGTGAGTACCTACAGTTATTAAACCATGATTTAAGCGTATGCATTTTGCCATGGAACAGCCCCCTCATTCACGCAATAATCGGCAATTTCATCTCTTATCTTCTGAACATAAGCATGAGATCGTCGGGGAATATTTTGAAAGGGTTGCATTGATGTCATAGCTTCATCATTCCTCCAGGACCCCATGGTAACTACCCCATCTTCTTCGTAATCAATAGAACAACGTGGTGTATACAGATTTGGCGAATTGTTTCTTAAGTAATTGTGCAAAAGGACAGTAGTCATCACGACCACTTCGGGTTCCACAAGCATAGGTTTTCGTAAAACCCTAAATACTGCGCTTAATATACCAAACGCATTCTCAACAATTCGCCGAGCTCTGCTTAAGCGATAGTTAAAGATACGTTTAGTACTTCCTTTGGCATGGTCCCCCGGATATGGTTTCATAATGTGTTCATTTAATGCAAATGCACTATCAGCAGCGAAATAATACGGTACTTTCGTTTCACGTCCAGGAAGCTGGTCAGGTGGAGGCAATCCTAAAGTACCGTTTGTCATCATATTATATAATTTTGTGTTTTTGAAAACACCTCCGTCTGAAATCCTTCCTTGACATCCGATGTCCGTAAAAATAAAGTTATAATTTCCATCAACCACTGCCAATAGTACTATACTAAATTGAGACTTATAATTAAAGTAATCGCTGCCAGAATTAATTGGAGCTTTGAGGAGAATATGCTTCCCATCAAGAGCACCTAAACAATGAGGCATGTTCCATACTTCTTCAAACACGTTACTTGCCTCTTTCCAAGCTTCAGGTGTAGTAGGTACCTGAAAGTAGAACGATTCATATGCCGTCATTTGATTTCGATTTTAGTATAGTAAAGTAAAACTAATTACTTCGCAGGTTATGTGCTAAATAATTTTATTTGGAGCTGGTAGAACCAGCTAATTTAGTTGCACGTCATGGAATAACATTCAGTACAATTATATTGCGTTATTTCTTTCAAAATGCATTAAAAGTGTAATCAGTGTAATTAATTGAAAACCCCTATACTTATTTGATACCATTCCTTTAGGAATCGCAACAAGAAGAACGTGGTAGTGGCAAAGAGGATGAATTACAAACCGAATCGGAGATCGAAGTCGAAAAAACTCCAACCAGTGCCCCAAAACGGAGAATAAAAACATCTCGCGAAGAACATTCTTCGCTGATGGTTGATGCAGTGGCTGTCTTAAAAACTGCAGCTTCTAAGCTAACTTCATCTTCTCCAGAAAATGACGAAGTCAAAGCTTTTTTAAGTTTTGTAATGGCAAAAATGAATTCCTATTCATTCGAAACGAGGAAAGGAGTTGAACATTCTATTCTTGATACAATTATGAAGGCTGATAGAGGATTTTACGAATTTCCTGCGCACATGAGGCAGTATGGGCAGCAACAGCAGTCATATCATTCAACTGCATCGACAAGTGCCAACGAAAGCTTACAGTCGTCTTCTGACTCGCAGTATCAACCATCCACCTACACAGAGTTAGTAGTTGTTCCGCCACAAGTAACACCTCAATTCCCAAACATATCTTTAACAGAAAGGCTCGCTTCCCGACAAGCAATGTCCTCTCCTTCGTCACTCCTCTCCAATTATACACCATCCCCTCAACATTCAGATCGCGATGATTTTAATGATTATGTTTAAAAGTACGCACGCTATTTTTGTTTATACATTTTTCAGTTGTTCTTTTCAATAATATTACTAAATAAAGTTTGTTTTTACCTTAATATATTCCTTTAGTTCATGTACAAGTGCTCTACATACTTCTGAAACAATTCGCCCAATAGATTGTTTTGATATTCTAAATAGAAATTGGAGGCTTGTATACGAATCTCCGGTCGCTAGGTATCGTAAAGTTACTGCTAACCTAAAAATACAATTTGCTCGATCACATCTTCCAAAATATGTATACTAGTACTTATTAACTTTATTTATGTACTTAAATCGACCACTTACCTATCTTGAACAGAGATAGGGCTACGAAAATGTGTTTCCTGCTTGGCGATATTTGGACCTATTTTTTGTAAAAGGTTTTCAAAATCACTTGGTGTCATCCTAGTGAAGTTTTTGTATTGTCCGCTAATGTGCTGAATCTTCATATCAAGCAGTAATTCAGATCCTGTTCGTTTTTTGAATAATTCGGTTTTCCACCATCGTCTGTCTCGTCTTGTTTTTCTTTTACGCATCTCTTCCATAATAATAACTATGGATCCGCTTGCTAACAACAATGCTATCGCTTCTTCATTGGAGGACATGGCACAATAAATAAACAATTTCTGCACAACCACTGAAAAACAATTCGCCTGCAATGGTCAAGTTTGAATGGAGCGACCTACGAATATGTTCGCGCTCGTACTGTTTAAATCAAACGAGCATTACATTACACGTTACATTACATGCTCGGTTCGGCAGATGTATACGCACCTTTACAAATCGACTATGAATTCGTCATAACAACTGCGAACAATCCCATTTGTTTCGGATAGATCGCACATCGCATGTTTTCGTCCGAATTCGTACGAAGCAGTTCGGACGCAGTGTACGAGTTTCAATAGGTTTCAATGAAACGGCATGATTCGCACTTCTTCGTCCGATTTCTGACGAAGGCAATTCGGACGAAAACGCATCCAAAGGACGACCGGCCTAAGGCGTCTCACGGCCGTCCTATCCGTCCGTATCGGTCCTTATATGTATCTCGATATTTTCAAACTCCTTCGTTATCACGGGCACGGTTAACCGTCATGGTGCCGCGGGCGAGAAGGGAAAGCGAGCTTTTTTGTCGACCATATCCAGACATTCTATCGTTGTAGGCGAGGTTGTAGGGTTAGCTTGCTTAGCGGCGTTCACAATTATTACAAATGATTTTAATTTCCTGTGATTTTTCTTGGGGCTATTACATTAAAGATAGTGTATATACTTACATTTGTGGAACAAATGATTAAATTTAAAAACAACTTATTATTAATTTTACACAACTACATTCGTTGAACAAAAGATTAAACTAACTAAACTAACTTTGATTGTTAGTATTGCACTGCTATGAGTAGTTACCAGACCGACGTCTATAATAGTACTTGCTCTTACATTCCTATTTACGACTAACTTAATCTACCCTGGTGTTAAATGTTACAACCCTTAATCAATACAGAAATAAAGTTTAAAGATATTACTAACTAATCTCTGCTCTTAGGCAAATAACCCTGGTAATCTAGTCTAATTCTAATAAACATGTTAACCTTTGCCTTAAAAAAATAAGTCAAATGAAATCTAATCTAATAATTCTTCTAAAATTCTAGGGGTGTCGTTAGATAACCTTTCGTCTGAGAACTAAATGATTGTATTCAATGAATTACCTAATATTATTTTACTGGAGTAATAGTCAAATGGACATTGTCGTTTTTATATGTTACCGAAAATCTGTGTAATTCAGGCATTCTATACAATGCCTAGGGAATGTGTGCAATTCCAAGTCGGTTAGGATACATTCATAATGGCTGGTCATTGTGATAAATGTAGGGTGCATTTAGGAGAAGGAAAACTACTTCTATTTTCTTTCTTCATATACCATTGAGACAATGGATTAAAATGCTTTAACAAAGTATGGCAAGAGCTTTATTAAGGGCTTGAATTCCTAGATCGCAAATTTATAATTTTGTGACGAAACTATTTAAGTTTTCCTTAACATGCATCCACTTTGTTTCTTTGTATAATAATTAAAATCAGATTTATTCACGCTTGCAATTATCAACTCAACATTATTTGTAATAACTAATAACCCTGTATAACGTATTTAAAAAGGCAAATCGTCTTCAAATGCATTCATAAATTTGAAACGATAATAATAATGATAATAGTAGTAGGACTTTATTGCACTAAACATAATTTACACTGACTTCGGCTTTTACGTACATATAATAAACATAGTTTTTTTTTCACATATACCTGATATACGCACTCAACTTACTTCGAATGGCACGGTATATTTTTTCTTAACCCTGCTTCGTTGGGACGAATACCGCTACTGAAATTTTCCAAATTAATATCCAATACGAAATATCATATACGAAACTTACCGTTCAAATATACGCTCCACATTCTCGCACTGAAACATCACGGCGATTAGAGCATATATCTCTAATCGCCGCATTGTATTCCATCAATTCGATTTGTACGCTTTGCCCAGTACGGATTATGGGAGGGACCGTGCACAGCAGGGTGTGATATTTTAGCGTCCATTTCCTTAGGGTACGTAATTACCCCTTCAAATTTTTGATGGCAACGGAAGCCTTCACACCTCTTGAAATATCGTTCGCACCAATCAAAATGACCAAAGGAACATTCCGTGGCACAAACCATTTAGAAGCTGCATTACGCGACCTCTCGATTCTTCGTCTTAATTGCGTTATAGTTTTGCCCCCGATACATAAATCTTACCAAAGGCTTGCCGTGTATTCGCCGAACTCTCAGTCTGCCCACCGTGGCCAACATCCTTCGTAGGATACTATCTCCCAAATAGTATCTTTTCATCGGTACAAATGTTGATAAATGTATTAAGTTACTATAAATCGTTAACGTAATTCAAAAAATACCACATTTAATGAAGGCCGCAAGAAGAAAACCTTTACATTTGTTTTAAAAATCCCACAATTTAACGTTCCCATTTCTTAAACTGCATTTAGAAACTATAAAATAGTAAAGTACCGTCTGTAATTGCGTTATGGTTCGATATATATATATATATATATATATATATATATATATAAAACAAGTGTCATATATATATATATATATATATATTATCGGTTAAGTTTGGCTACACTTTCTCGTATAAAAAGGTAAGTTCGGCTACATAATGCCAAGTTTGGCTACGTAGTCAAAGTTGATACACTAGTCGTGGTAAACTGAGGCATATTTGACTACAAAAGTTTGGCTACAGGAACATATAAATTCTACCATGTTAGTGTAGTCGAATTTCAAGTACACGAGCGGCGAAAGTTTTTTTCAAGGGGGGTTTTAAACAAATAATTCTTTATAGGTTATTTATAGGTTATGTTTGTTACTGTAACTACATGTATGCTACTTTAATGACATCAGTAATTACATACGCCTCCAGTTTTATACAAACTCGCCTTTTTCAAGACTCATATAGCTTGGATATACGATCTTATAAGGTATGTAGTTCCCTGAAAGTGTTTTTAGATGTAAAACTGTACCCAACATTACCGATGTATCTAATTGATGTAAACATTGTTATAGAAGCCCTAAATCATGAATTTGGAGAGAAAACTTGTTCACAATGAACCTCGTTATATAATTCGTAAAGTAGTCGAATTCTTTGATCGATAAAAAGAAGCAGATCGTTGGTTTTAAACCTCGACTATACGGATGGAAGGGAAACTCCTCACAAGCAATTGTTGGTTTTCGATACAAAAAGTGTTATGAAAAACGCAGGTTGTTAATGGAAAGAAGTGACATCGTAACATGGTGTTCTCGTTATTTAACACTAAAAGAAAACGAACACCTGAATGTGACAAAAGACCCGTTATATACTTGGACGAAACCTATATTCACCCATCGTACGGCTACGGAGTGAGCCTACAATCAGATGAAGTATCGGAAGTTTACAAATCCAATAGGGCTGGTCAGAGGTACATCGTAGTATGCTAGTAGTCGTTCTGGTTTTGTAGAGGATGTCGCACAGTAAATCGGGGGATTATCACGACGATATGAATCCTACCAACTTCATGCAGTGGTTAGAGAAGCAGCTTATACCAAATTTACCAGCAAACTCAATTGTGGTTATGGATAACGCACCTTATCATAGTGTTCAAATAAATAAGCCGCCAACGATGAATAATCGTAAGGAAGTGATACGTTCTTGGTTAGAAGCAATTAATAACATTCCTACGACAGATGAATTTATTGACAATGTACAATTTGTTGTGTGTTAATTTAGTCAATGTGAGCGTTATTAATTTCAATGTGATTGTAATAATTTGAAATAAAATTAATAATTTTACTGTTTTCCTCTTCCTCTTGATGTTATGCAACTCATATAGCACGGGCGTTATGGCGTACTTGTTTATATCAATTTTGCATGAGAATGTTCTAAATTTCTAGCCCCCTCGGGCTCGCCCTGTAAGGGACTTTCTGAACGTGGTGCCACTGTAGATACTCAATAAAATTTGCAAAAAAATTTTAGTCATTTGGTGTAAAATCTCCCAATGGATAGTCATATTCGAGTCCATAACTTTTATGCCCAAGGAAATCGATAGCAAACCGCCAAGTCATTCCAGTATATTTGGTACCTACTTGACGAATCATGAACCGAGGCTCATTAGTGATATTTATGAAGGGTTATACAGAATGTAGTAGGTTATGTACATCAATAATTTATTCTAAATAACCTTTTTCGTTCCCCATTCCCATTTGAAGCGCTTTAGGTGAACAAAGGCAACTTGTTTCAAAAAAACACTTTTTGGAAATGTTTTTTGGCATGATTCTACTAAACCCAGTAGGTTGTACGCAATTATTTTATAAATTTTGCAAAAAAAATTTTTTTGAAGCAAGTGCCCATTGTTAGCCCATTTGGGTCAAATGGTTGGGATGGCCTTTTTAGTGCAAAATCTTGCAATCGATAGTCAAATCAAATGTGATATACTTTGTGCCCAAGGAAATCCATGCCAGACCGATCCAGTACTTTCAGTACACTTGTGACCCATATATGACGAAGCACAGACCTAGTCAAAGTAATGTTATGTGTGCATGATTATACTAAACCCAGTAGGTTGTATGCAATTATTTTATAAATTTTGCAAAAAAATATTTTTTGAAGCAAGTGCCCATTGTTAGCCCATTTGGGTCAAATGGTTGGGATGACCTTTTTAGTGCAAAATCTTGCAATCGATAGTCAAATCAAATGTGATATACTTTGTGCCCAAGGAAATCCATGCCAGACCGCTCCAGTACTTTCAGTACACTTGGTACCCATATATGACGAAGCACAGACCTATTCAAAGTAATGTTATTTGTGCATGATTATACTAAACCCAGTAGGTTGTATGCAATTATTTTATAAATTTTGCAAAAAAAATTTTTTGAAGCAAGTTTGTTAGCCCATTTGGGTCAAATGGTTGGATGGCCTTTTTAGTGCAAAATCTTGCAATCGATAGTCAAATCAAATTTGATATACTTTGTGCCCAAGGAAATCCATGCCAGACCGCTCCGCAGTACTTTCAATACACTTGGTACCCATATATGACGAAGCACAAACCTAGTCAAAGTAATGTTATGTGTGCATGATTATACTAAACCCAGTAGGTTGTATGCAATTATTTTATAAATTTTGCAAAAAAATAATTTTTGAAGCAAGTGCCCATTGTTAGCCCATTTGGGTCAAATGGTTGGGATGACCTTTTTAGTGCAAAATCTTGCAATCGATAGTCAAATCAAATGTGATATACTTTGTGCCCAAGGAAATCCATGCCAGACCGATCCAGTACTTTCAGTACACTTGTGACCCATATATATGACGAAGCACAGACCTAGTCAAAGTAATGTTATGTGTGCATGATTATACTAAACCCAGTAGGTTGTATGCAATTATTTTATCAATTTTGCAAAAAAATATTTTTTGAAGCAAGTGCCCATTGTTAGCCCATTTGGGTCAAATGGTTGGGATGACCTTTTTAGTGCAAAATCTTGCAATCGATAGTCAAATCAAATTTGATATACTTTTTGCCCAAGGAAATCTATGCCAGACCACTCCAGTAGGTACTTTCAATACACTTGGTACCCATATATATGACGAAGCACAAACCTAGTCAAAGTAATGTTATTTGTGCATGATTATACTAAACCCAGTAGGTTGTATGCAATTATTTTATAAATTTTGCAAAAAAAATATTTTTTGAAGCAACTGCGCATTGTTAGCCTATTTGAGTCAAATGGTTGGGATGGCCTTTTTAGTGCAAAATCTTGCAATCGATAGTCAAATCAAATTTGATATACTTTGTGCCCAAGGAAATCCATGCCAGACCGCTCCAGTACTTTCAGTACACTTGTGACCCACCTAGTCAAAGTAATGTTATGTGTGCAAGATTATACTAAACCCAGTAGGTTGTATGCAATTATTTTATAAATTTTGCAAAAA